TAGATGTTCCCTGTACTGTGTACTGCTCATGCTCAGATGCATGGTATAGGTGTTCCCAGTACTGTGTACTGCTCATGCTCAGATGCAAGGTATAGATGTTCCCAATACTGTGCACTGTTCATGCTCAGATGCATGGTATAGATGTTCACAGTACTGTATACTGCTCATGCTCAGATCACCTAAGTAAAGGAATGGAGCTACCTCAAATCAGGATTGGTATAGGACTAGGTGTGGTTATTGATGATGATTCATCCAATATTGTATTAACTTCAAGATCATCAATAGTTATATTAGGATTGTTCCCAGTAAAATTGTATTGAGTAGATGAACCATTAATATTGCTGTCGTTAACTAGAACTTTATAATACTTTATACATTGTTGGTTCTGTTGATTAGAATGAACTAAAAAATTACAAAAGAATATACACTATATACCCATGACATTATAATGAAAGACAGAGAGAGAGAATACAAGATAGAGTTAATTGTTTCACAATACATTATACTAAAGTATGTCCATCCTATACTACTGGAGAAGGGGAGTATTGATGTCTTTGAGTTGGTTTCAAGGTTTTGGTTTTGGTGGTATTGGAGGAGGAATATCCAGACCACCTAACCTAGTCATGATCAGCTCTTGAGTAGTGGACTTCCTCTGGAGAAGAGGGGGAGAGAGAGGGGTAGAGATAAAGGGTGTGTTACTCCATACAGTATAATGTGTATTGGCTTACATTGCCATTGACTGCTGCATGGACTACTCTTTCCTCAGTGGGTGGTTTATTCTTTGGTGTTCTCTTACCAGCTGCTATTGATAGATCAGCATACAATACTTTATGAGGAGCAGCTGGAGGAGGAATGGGAGGAGGAACAGACTAGGAGGAGAGAGAGAGGATGTATAAGATACCATTACATGTACATGTACATTATGATTACTTTGTTGTTAACTGATGCATATATACCACTGGTTGTTCTTGTGTTGGTGCGGCTTGTGGTCTCTTTCCTTTAGCAGCAATAACCAAATCAGCATACACTAAGTTGGAATCTGCTCAAACCATCTGTATGTCTTAAGTACATCAATATGTATTACAAAATGTATTAAAAATTAGGGGTGATTCTTGAGCCATTTTTCAGGAAAAAAACATGGGCTTTTGAGCATAATTTTGAAACATCATGACCCATGACGGGCCATAATGTTTTGAGATACTAATTAATTAATTAATCCTATCCAGTCTCAAGGTGTAGCCTTGAGACTGAATATGAGAGAGGAGAGAGTCACCCTATGTATACTGACAGTCATTGCGGAAGAGAAAGAGATGGATCCAAACTAGAGTCTAAACTACATACATAGCCAAGAATTTTACTTTGAATCATGACTGATATCAATAGGATCAGCCTTGATACATTCCTGTATCATAGATTTTGGGTCGCCTGCAAAGCAGTGAGTCTAGTATGTATGATACAATCATGATGACCATCCATGATACAACCATGCTGGAGTAAGGCCCTGGTTCAGCCAGAGCAAACAGACATGATTCAACATTGATGCCAGTCAGGGCGGTATCATAATAGACATCAGGCTTGAATCATTGATTTTGGGTAGTGGCCTGTATCAGAGATAATAATTCTTGGCCATGTACACAGTAACCGGCAGGATAGAGCTGATCACTAATCAGTCCATGGTGGGCTGGCTTATAGTCTGTGTCCTGGCAAAGATGAAGCAGACCATCTTCATGTCAGGAGTTGAGACACCAATCTAAAAGTGCAGGGGGAGGCTCATTTTCATTAATTCAATTATGTTTAAAATAATCCAAAAATATGGTGTGTTCCATCAGTTATACTAATAAACTCCTTAGCTAAATCAAAGTTATCAGTAATTTGCTTATGTAATAGTAAGCAATGAATTGAGGCAGCTGCTATAACACTAATAAGCTAGCTAAATTAATAGCATCCTCTAATAGCATGAGTAATTAAAAGTGAGGGCAGTGCCCCTCTTGCTGCCTTGCATCAAAATTAAGAGTGGGGGGGCTCTGCCCTTCATCAAAATTGGGGGCTCAGCCCCCCCTTGCCCCCCCCAGATCCACTGCATGGAAAAGAAGCTGAGAGCTGCCCAAGAACAAAAGGAGCAGTTGAAACTTCTGGCGGAGAGTGGAGCTGGAAGTGAATCAGTGGGAGAAATGGAAGCTCTGAAAAAAAGATCTGACGTTGCGGAAGGAGACCGATGGAAAGCGGATTGTCTGAGCTACGAAGGGAACTGCTCGAGGAAGAGCTACCACGTCCACGG